CAATTTACATTCAATAAAACCTTTTTTGTCTAAAAAACAAACATGATGATTAAACTGAATGTGTCGAATTAACAATAATCTTTAATGATCCATATAATGTAAGTAGTAGATTGAAATGGTTAACATTTCTTCAACTCTTTTATTCATTAATTTCAGTTTAAAATTAGTGCGTTGTATCGATGAAAATAGCTACATATTTGTGTAAATATTAAATATACTGAAATATAAATAAACTTTGTATATTGAAATAATACTAATTTGTTTTAAATTATTATTATTATTATAAAAAATAATACCTGTTACTTAAACTAAATGTCATTTTCAAATGATAATATTAGTTTATGAATGTTTCACTCTTAATGATAAGAGATTAATGGTGAGACTCTCGTTTATGGACGACCTTTAAGCGACGCTAAAATGACCCTGAGAATGTCCACCTAATAACTAGGACTAAATAATGGTTGTAAAGCAGTGTGAGGAATTATAATTATAATTTACGGTTGACGGTTAAGGTTAGTGTTATGTCATTATGTCCGGCTTTTTATCACTTGATTTATCCACCAATAAAAATGCGACTTATACAATCTTAGCACTGTGCCAAACCAATGACGTTCAACCGGTATGAGCAGCCTAGCATCCTCATTGGTCCTATGTCTGGCTAGCCCGTCCAGTTGAGTCCAGAACACCAATACCAGCTTCCACTATGCGAATCGAATCATTTATTCCAGACATACTGGGTCTATATATCAACCAAACAGACCGCAACGCACCATAAAATAGGAAGTAACATCTGTACACAATAAAGCCAAAAAGTGGCTGTGAACATGGGAGACAGTACTTAATAAATTGAGCATAATTTAGGGACAGTACATAGTATAATAATAAATTATAGGTCAAAATGAAACATATAATAAGAGGAATATTAATATATATAATCTAGTTACTGAATTACTATACAATAAGAACATATAGATAATATTAGTCTATTAATAGGTCTCAGACGTTACTCGTACTTTAATCTTCACTAGGATATAACAGTTAGGAATTAGATTTAAGGTTTTCATCACGAACTGACATCAGCTAAAATGCCAATACTCTATCTAGCCAGATGGATGAATGAAGTTCGCGCTAAAATCCAAGACCTGTTATCTTATATCTGATTGGTTCGTCCATAAATTATAGTCTCGCCGAGATTAATTAGCGTTCACTTTACAGAACAATGATTTATATTAAATTTTACTGAGTAAATCATAGAATATATAGATCTATTTAGTATTCGATTGGATATATGTTTCATGAAACCTTGAAATATAATAGATATTTGAGTAGTGTCGATGTCTCTAATTAAAGTACACATTTTATCATGAAATAAATACATTTAATTCGTGAACAATAAGAAACAAGATAGTTTCAGTGATTATCTTCTATTATTATAAATGGAATACTGTTTAGAGTGGATTCATTTAATTTAGTGTTTCTACTGAAAATTCGAACGATAATCTTTTGTCTGCACTTAAAGTTATACATTGTAATTTCGAAACCAATCATTTTATAACAGAATGATGTAGATAAAGATGTTCGACTCTAGCAAGTATTCATTAGGAGGTTGAATATAAGTATCGTCGGTATTTAAAAATAATGTTTCTGGAAATTTCAACTTAACGGTGATGTTACGCCCAAAAACCCCACAACCCGATAATTAAACTTATTTAGTAGAACAAAATGTCATGAAAAACATAATAGATTCTAATTATGCATAAACCTTTGAATTCGACGCTTCTGAGGACTCATTTGGATAATTAAAAACACAGTTAAAGGACGTACTGCCATAAACTAGAAAATACTACATGGATGAGTCAACTACGAATAACAAAAAAAAATGACGAGACGAAACAAGCTACTGGATTTCAAAAATAAATCACTCAGAATGAAGAAGAGTCCCAAAGGGTAATACATAGGAACAGGAGCAAACGACGACTAAACACTTATACTACTAGTAGAACGAACGAAGAAAAATACAAATGGTTAGGATATTTGTCTTGTTGTTGTACAGGTGTGAAAGCAATAGAATATAATTTAGATTGCTGAACACTAATAAGTAGTATACCGAGACAAAAAACCGTTACGGCCTACACTCGAAAAACGTAAATTCTTACTTTGTTGACTCATGATAGATCAGAAGTAGTGGTTTAGGCTGTATGAAGTCGCATCCTGTTATAGTTATAAATCACTAAGTTCAAGTAACTAAAGGCTTGTAGGATCACGTTTGTCTAAGATAAATTATGATTTTGTATCCAGCTAGTAACTTTTGAAATATTTACGGTGAAACTCGTGGAGGTTTAGTAAGGTAGTGCCTGCTGGATTTCTCATTACTGTTCAAATTCTTAGCCTCACTTTGTTAACTAACTATACTCACTGATGTAAGTAGTCAATGTGTGGATAACCTGATAAGTCTTTTAATGTACCTGTTGTTCAATGAAGAATATAATTGATGTATCCTACTAAATCGTTAGCATACTTATTTTAAACAAGGAAGTGTTAACTGACATACAAACAATAAACGTGCAAGTTACACTGACCAAAAGATAGCGTTCGTTATGAGAAAAATAAAGCTACCAATGACAAAATTTGAGTGACTTTAAATTGCATAGGCTATATAACTAATTATCTTCAGTATGCTCAGCGGAAAAGTACCAAACCGTGTCTTATTTTCGCAACTAACTGAATGCTACTCTGATCCCATTCAAACAAACTTTTTTTTAGAAAACTTCCTCAAGACACTAATATTCGCCTCATTAAGTGACAAAACATTGGGAACAATTAATTATTTAGATCGATGGTAAGATGATTACAAATCCTTAAAATTTCCGACTTATTTGCTTTTACAGTGATTGACTTGGATCCAATATAATTGTTACTGAATTAAGTTACTTGCGGTTCGTAACCATTAGTCATCAAAATACCCAAACTTCAGAAAACGGGACTACTTCTTATACCGACTATTAAAAAGTTTTTGATTGAGATCATGAATCAATTGATGTTAGGCCATCATTGAAACCTGGAAGCACCAGACGGCCGTTTCGTCTCGTTGTGGCACTCCTCAACAATGCACACCCACGGTATTCGAACCCAGGATCTTCGGTTTCACACGTGAACGCCTAACATCTAGACCACTGAGCCGGCGTCCGGTGATGTTAATGTTTAGAGGTTAAGCGTTCGCGCGTGGAACCGAAGATCCTGGGTTCGAATACCGTGGATGTGCACTGCTGAGGAGTGCCACAATGAGACGAAACGGCCGTCCGGTGATTCCAGGTTTTCAATGATGACCTAACATCAATCACTTCATGATCTCAGTCAAAAACTCAACAATCTCTACAACCTCATACTGATATTAGAAATAGTGTTTATCCTGATGGTTAGGAATGTATAACATGTTACATCGGTAGCGCAGTGAATAAATACTTGAATCCTGGAAATGAATTGTCTTTATTTTCAACGCTTTGGTTAGAAACATAGCATCACTTGGTTTTTCCATTGAATGGAACTCCTCCCATTTTCTTCTTTTATCAACTGGCTAACGGTAGCGTGAGGAATACTATAATGCGTTTGTAAACCTAACTACTTCCATAGAAAGAATAGGCTGTAATATATACATTGAGCTTTTGGTAACCTAACACGAGCTGTTCCTAAAGTTACCACAGGAATCAACATTTAATCATAGCATATAAACGGAGCTTTTATTTATTATGAGACCTGGAAATTCAAGCATAAAATTCGTTAAGTTTGATGTTTTAAATTCATAAATTACACCAGATGACGCTGTTCTGCTGCTTGATTTTGTTTGCTTCGTGATAAATTCCGATCCAAAAATCTAATAAACTGAATTATTTACGACTAGTAAGTATAAAGTATATTAATGTGATGTTTCTAGATTAAAATTTATTCATGTTTTTGGAAGCAATTTTTATTATAAAGTTTTAACACACTACATATGGAGACACTTTTGGATACAAATAAGTTAACATAAGATTGTTTAAAGCAATTATTTATTTACAGGAAATAAAGTATTATTAAGGGAAGACAATGTACATGTGCATTATTGGATATATTTTTTCATAAATTTTTTATGAAATTCAGATCGTAGTGTATCATTTACGAATCCACGTTTCACATGATCGACTTCACCTCGAGCACAATTTTTAAATACAACATCATCATCCCATCTTCTTTTGACTTTAAATTCTTCAGTACAAAAAAGGAACATATTTTACACACAATGAAACAATGTAATAATAGAAGTATAATGAATATAAAACTAAACGGTAAAATATAAACGTCAATTTTTAAAATTTTGATTTTTTTACCAACTGATATTAAAAAACAACACAAATCGAACTTAAAGTTTTGGGTGACTAGTCTTAAAGGAAACCTTGATTTCTTTATAATGATAATTACAAACGATTTCATCGTAATAACCAATATGAAAATGTAAGGTATCGAATATGGATGTATGAACCAGTTATTTAGTTACTGTATCCTATATCGTGTGCGTAGTAACAAATTTTGTGTCAGAAATGACTATACGTAGGATTTCTGAGTATTTACAAAAATGTAGATTTTTAACGTCATATATATATATCTGTCTGTTATTAGGTCACAAACAACATTCTCTATGAATGGTAAAAACTACTCTTGACACAAATAACTAAAATAAATCAAGTTTAAAAATTTATTTACGAATAACTATTGCTGAGACAATGAGCTGGTAGTTTACGGCAATAATTATTTTCATGTGATGTTAGGAATAATGGATACCCAAACAGTGACAATTTATCTCCCATAGATTTGAAATTATTTAAGCAACTCAAGTAATAGTGGAATATCTAACTTCAATAGGGCAGCATCACCGATGAACAAGGAGGATTCGATGCAGACGTAAAGACGAGGATTGACAATGTAAGGGCCACATCCCTACAGTTGAAGAACATATGGAACCTAAAACAACTGTCAACCAATATCAAAGTGAAAATCTTCAATACAAACGTCAAGACTGTTCTAGTGTACAAAGCTGAAACTTGAAGTATTACAACTATCATCAAAATAGTACAAGTATTTATAAACAGTTGTCTACACAAGATACTCAATGTCCGTTGACCGGATACCATCAACAACAGCCTACTGTGGAAGAGAACAAACCAGCTTCCAGTTGAAGAGGAAATTAGGAAGGGACGATGGAGGTGGATAGGACATACGTTGCATAAACCATCAAACTGCATCACGAGGCAAGTGCTGACTTGGAATTCTGGAGGGAAGCGGAAAAGAGGAAAACCGAGGACCACATTGCGTCGGAAGCATATATCAAAATAATGAATGGACATTGGAAACGATTTCCCAGGACAAAGTTGGATGGAGAATGTTGGTGGGCAACCTATGCTCCTCCATAAGGGGCAGCAGGCGTAAGTAACTTCAACATATAATATAAACCAACAGGAAAGTGCTATTTTGGGTGACACTGAGTCCTCCGAGCTGGATGATTTAATTGTGAAGCTTTGATTGTTGTTCTTAATAGAATCACCAGCGTCTAATACAAGTAGAAACCTCTAGATTACAGAATACAACACCATTGAAATCATCCGATTGAGTTACAAATCATTCCAAAAATTAGTGTACTCTAATGCCACTGATTTTTATTATTGCATACCAATCTTTTAAATTTTTCTGTTAGTTTGTATAAACTAGCATTTCATGCACTATACCGTTTATGAACTTAGTAAATAATAACACTCATCGATTAGTAAGACTAATTTTATTTAATAAAATATCGAAAGTCTTCTTCAGACTACATTCAGGATTTGTTTGACCAACTAGTAAGAATATGACAGTACTAGATATCTGACCTACTCAAAGACCTATGATCTGTATACATATGTACAATCACCCTCTTCGGAACGAATCTATGGTTTTAAAGCTTTTCGAAGAGCCGGTTATTTAATAAACTATTTGAATAGTTAATGAAACTGGAGAAGCAGGAAATTTCCTTTATAAAGCACTAGATATATCCCAGTATTATTACTTCATTATCCCCACCTGGTATAAACCAGGTCAATTTTCCCGGTAAGTACGATGATTTAAGTCCAATCAGTGGTGAATGAATCTTTGTGTGAACATTTTAATCATGGAGATTATAACTTACTAGAATGATGAATGTGAATTGGTTTGAAGACAGATGATCGACACAGTCGTATTGAATTAAATTAATAAATCATTTCATACAATTTGTATGGACTGTTGTATAAAAGTTAAATAGTTCACTATATGTAAAAATCATTAAGCCAATATTAAGTCGCGATATGCCAGAAATTTTCTATTCACTGGGATATCAGATATACTATATATATATAATTTCATAAGTATAGATTCACTGTAAACACACTGTAAAACAAACCTGAAGAATTAGATGAATTTAAAAGAGGATTTCCTTTCAAGATATTTTCCATACGAATAGTTTCTTCAGCTGCTTTCCTTTCAGCAGCCAAATGGGCTGCTTCTTCAGCTCGTTCACGTTTAATTTTAGCCAATTCGGCTAGTAGCATTTCTTCATCTTCTTCATCATCGTCGTCGACGTCATCATTGTCAGCATCTTCATCGTCATCACCATCGTTTTGATTATCATCATCAAATTTATCTCCAGTTGAATTCTTACTTTTATTATGATTCGATTTCTTAGTGATAATTACATCTTCTTGATCTTCATCATAGTCCTCATCCCACGGATCATCAGCGTCTAAATTAGTTGTTGACACAGCAGTGGTTGTTTCAGGTCGTGTACGTTTTATACTACCTATAGTACTACTGTCAATAGTTGGCGCGACAGCAGCAGAACTTGGTCGTTTGGCACTGGTAATTGCTGGTTGTTGACTAGTGGAATTTATTGAGGCTGGATGAGGGCAGTGGGAAAAAGTAATACAAATGTAAAACTCCTACATTCGTAATGTCTTGACTTTTGAAAGAGGAAGAATATCAAAAGGTAAAAGAAACAAAATTCTGACCTAAAATATAATATGAATTTCACGAAGTTCCTCAAAGTCGTCGTCTTCACGAAGGAGTAATTCTGTGAATTTATTAACGAAGTGTATTAAAAAACAAAGTAGTTTAGAAGTATTTGGTGGCTGTTGATAACCTTCATCTTAAGCATTCTAACACATAATAGTAAAGTATATCTACAACGCCCACAAAATTCATGTTTACAAGCTAAGAAACAGCATTGTTTAGTGTTACTTAAAGGTATTTAGGCTGGAACTGGTACTGTGGAGAATTGAATCAGAGTTAAGAACCAATGTTATAATCACAAAATTACCCAATACCTCACAAAAAATGAATCAGAACAACGTGCCGTTTTCACATTAGCACAGAGGAATAAAAACAAGGAACATTGAAAGTTTTTCCAGTAGACATCAAGGATGAATTAAACGGAAACAAAAGGTAGTACGTTAACAATCAAGGAAAAGTGGATAGATCCGAGATATTGCAACTAACTTTGAGCTGTTACTTAAGGTTTCCAACTTCTGATCTACGTAATTTTGCTAACTCACTGAGTAAGGTGTATATGATTCTGACTAACATTAAGTGAACCATTCTGAAACAATCTCCGAGAAAAATAAGGCGCAGCAGTCAGGTTTTAGTTGATTAGAGAATAAGTGAAATACGATCTAATTTATTGGAAATACCTAATACGTTTTATAATGTTTATTTTGTACAAAAACGCGTTATTTTATTATATAAAAGACCTTACTATCTGGCTAGTAATCTTGTTACTGGTTGATCGTTCGTGAACTCATTTATAATACCCTCAAACAATGAGTGACCTGTCTCCTTTAGCTTTTTTCAACCCTATTCTTTCGTCAGCATCGCAATAAATATGACAAGGACGAGTTGATATGAGAAAACTGGAGGATAAGGCGAGGATAACATGTAAATAAAGTATTTCGCTAACCCCACAATAATAAGCAAGACGACAATGATCAGACAATACGCTTGATCTCAAACATAGCCACTCTCGAATGCACTGGTACGGGGGAGGGTTGAGAGAGTCTGCTCTCTCTCTCGAAATGCCCTCATATGGCCACGCGTATACAACAACAACCGAGGAAGTTCTACTCATTGACTTCTAGCGGCAGGCGTGTTGGTTGCGAAATTGAAAGGATGAAAAGCGAATGTCCGGCATTTTAACAGGATTGGTGGGTACGGAGCATCCACCTAGGGGGATTGAAAACCCTGATTCTAAACCAGTGGTACACATGGGCTCCAGGATCCTGAGGGAACGAACCACGTATGAACCTATTGTTGATCATTGGTTACCATGAGGCCTAGATTTTGTCAAATTGCGTCACGTAAGACGAAGGCGAGATTTACGTCTATCAATTAAAGGACGAGTATACTGTGCACCAGTTCATTCTGTTTTATTTTACGGCTGTCAGACGTAGCCATTACTAGTATTTGATCACAGATGTCCTAGAAATATTGCTCGCATCTACTGGGATCATCAGGTAGGTAATAAAGAGGTTAGATACAGGGTATTAGAGAATGGTGGTAAATCAGTTGATGAAGTTGTGAAGCTTCATCGACTGATTACCACAATGCTGACCAGTGTTGGAGACGGTTGGAAGAAAGTTAGGAGCGGCCAAAGCAAAACGTGGCATCAGTCCTTGAAATCACTAACTTTTGGTCCGAACTATGTCGGTAGATCCAAACTACTTGGTTGGGGTCTGCGCGACTATCGTGACCAATCGTTGGAGATTCTGGGTGACATGGCTTAAAATCGATCACAATGAATACTTTTTGTCACAAAAACCCAAAACATGAAAATCTAGAATATCTCGAAATATACCTTTAAATCACAGGTGTAAGGACTGTATATGCTGTATGAGTCCCCTAAAAAAATTTGTTGAGTCGAAAACTTAAGTTGGAGAATTATTCTGGGAGACAGTTTTTACCAAACAATAGGGTCTATAGAATATGAGGAATTATTTGAGACTATGTTAATCAAACTAATTGTATCTATACTATAAGTTAACTGCCATTTAAAGATGGAAGTGTGACGAAATTTCTAAAGCCTATGCATTTTTATCTCTTTATAGGTTGAGTTTTAAAGGTGCTCATGACTAACTTGTATTAAGAATAAGTGAATTAACTATACTTACGCCTCCCCGACTTTTCTTGAGCTAATCGTTTCTCTTTTTCTTCCAAAGCACGTTTAAAATCTTTTCCTTGAATATCTTCAGGTCTTCCTTGTCCTTCTTGACGCAATTTTAATTTCGTATGTGCCGGTAAGTCACGAACAGAGTACTGCTTAGACAAAGCACTTAAATCACCTTCCCACTTTCCCCTACTACCTTTAGCAGTATCCCATGTTGGTCTCCCGGCTGTGGTCATTTTTTAGTCGATGGACAACCTGGAAACAAAACATTTGGTTAAAACTGCTCTTAGACAGTTATTGATATTTGTGAACAGGCTGTTGGGATCACAAATTGTTGTTAAGTTCTAAGAAAACGTTAAACAATCAAGGAGCTAGTGACAGAAATACCAATAAGGAGACAAATTGCAGCGGAAAATAACGTTTTTGGATGAAAGGGACAGTAAATACAATACCAAGAGACGTTAAGTATATATTTATGAAAGATAAGCGGAAAAACCAAAATTTTTTCTTCTGATTAAGGAAATGAAAACACTTAGAGTATTGAGCAGTATTACGAACGCTTTGTTGGATCATGTTTCATAAATTTAACTTAAACTAGTAAACTCCAACCGGCTTTAAATTGGGAAGGAAGCTGACAGATCATCTTAAGTAATTCAGCAAGTTAATATTTCAATATTTGCTGAACTTTCTATTTATTACAAAACAGACTGACAAAATGTCAGTAAAATAAAGTTATGCGAACGAAGGTCAGAACAGTTAAAGTTATTTACAAACATGAAAGACAAGAGCATCAGGCTAAGTCACGTCACTTTATTAAGTGGATGTATAGTCTTAAAAGATATACAACTACCATATATCCTCTTCTTAATTCATAGCTCCTGATTCAGTGACGTGAAGAAATGGGACATTCATCAAAACTAGCTGGTAACAATAAATCTAGTTGTGTCAGATTGGTCTATTTTGTTTCGAAACATAAGGAATGTGATTGGTAAACTATGCTTTTTTGGAAAAAGTAAGTGGAAAATATGAGAGGCATTCCACACAACTACGCTAAGCGAGAGATCAACGGAAATATACTTGAGCTTAGTGTTTGCTTACTTGACTCCTTGTGACTTTAAAAGTATTTAGATTATAAAAACTCTCAAGAAATATGTTTTGATGGGTATCTAAAAGTTTGGAGGGATTTCACGTAAATTGAGAAGCGAGAGAAAGAAAGAAAACTTAATGCTTCTACATGAAGGCTTACACCAAACTATATCGAGCAATGACCTGGGGGAACAGTAGCGTTAACGGCAAATGTACCGCACTCACATTCAAATGGTTCAAATGTTTGTGGAAGGAACAGAAGAAGCTTTCGCTTAACGGGCTTCCGTGTCTAATAGCAGTGGATCACTAATACCTCCAAGCAGAAACCTAGGTATATCAACGACAATGGAGGGAAAAAATTGGTAAATCATAATAAGTCCTTAAGAATAGATCAAGTTGCCTCTTGAAGGACTCCTGGGAAGTCGCTTGAACTAACTCGGCCGGCAGCTAATTCCAGCATTTGACAACTCTTAAGGGGTAGAAGTTGTGTCTACAGTTCGTTCTGCTATGTTGTATCTCCAACGTCTGGGCGTTATCCCTTAGGTTTGTATTGGGACTAAGTTTAAGTATGTGTTTAAGGGGATGTCCAGAAGTGTTAAGGATACTATAAGTCATCAGGGGTCACCTCTAAAACGCCTATACTCTAGTGGATAAACGTTAAGTGACTGGAGACCCTCTCCATTAGGTTTGAATTTGAGTCCCCAAACTGATTTCGTGGCTCGCCGTTGGATAGGCTCTAGAGTGTCCTTTTCCTTTTGGAGTGAGGGAGAAATACAATGTTTCCGTACTCTAAATGGGGACGAATAAAACTGTTGAAGATTATGTGGAAAGTTCTACCGTCAAACTGGCCAAAAATGCGCTTCAATGATACCAGTGCAAGGTTTGCTCGAAAGGCATTTCTGTCACAGTTAGCGTAGGACTTCAAATCGTAGGGTACGAACACTCCTAAATCTTTCTCGACTCGGGATACTACTAGAGAGGAGTTTCTTAAGTTGTAACTGTAATCTGCAACATGTCGCAGATGGACTACTTTACACTTTGAAGTGTTGGAGGTAAGTCCGTTGCCATGTGCCCAACTTTGAATTCGAGTCAAGTCCTCCTGAAGTGCCTGTATATCCTCTTGGTTGCGTATCTTTCTCCAAAGTTTCACGTCATCAGGAAAATGTAATAAGTCTGACGGCACCTGTTGTGGGAGATCACTTATATAAATTGTCGTGACCTTGAATCGCTTTTACCCCGTGCCAGTTGTTGTATCCTTGACTGAAAGATGGGAGAGCAGCGTATTTATCGATCGATTCAATGACACGTTAACACGCACGGACGGCCTAGAGTCTCGATTGGTCCCGCTCTCCTGTCTAGCCCGGCCAGTTGAGTCCAGAACGCAAGTCTTAGCCTCTGAGATATGAATCATTATATTTCAGACATACTCTATTTATATACCAATCAACCAGACCACATCGTACCATAAAATAGAAAACAACATTTGTACAATATTTGACAAGTGAAATAAATAATGACCAATAGGAAATGTCCATTTAAAGTCCAAGGACACCATTAGACTTAAGATGATCATTATTGGTATATTCCTCTGCATCTCTAACATAAATCGAGAAGAGAAGGGGTCTCGGTACTGAGCCCTGGGGGACCCTACTAGGACATTCCATAGCCTGAGATAAAGTGAAGTTAACCCTGATCTTAAAATGTCGATTTTTCAGATATGAAATGAGCCAATCAATTAGCGATTATATGGTGCCTAATCGTTTGAGCTTATTGATAAGACACATATGGTTGATCCTATGAAAAACTTTTGAGAAGTCAAGGTAAATGACATCAGCCTTCCCCTTGCGGTTAAGGATTGTCGTTCATCTGTCCACTACAGTCAGCAGGTTGGTTATACAGGAGCAACTCTTCCTGAAACCATGCTGTTGGGGTGAGAAGAAATTTAAGGACAGTAAATAGTCATCTATACCATCACATATCAGGGACTCCATAATTTTGTAGGTATAGATAGAAGAGCCACCGGTCGGTAACTTGAAGGTTCGCTGCGTCAACTTCCCCTGAAAATTGGTGTGATGTGAGCCAGTTTCCAATTTTCCGGTAGTTTTCCTCGGCTTAGCGAGTGTGAGAACATCACGCTAAGCGGTGTTGCCAGGATATTAACTGCTTCTCTCAGTATAGCAGAATGAACCATATCTGAGCCGGGAAAAGTGTCTTTTCTTGAGTGCTGCAGTTTTCGGAACACCAGGTCAGCGCTCGGGTTCAATTCGGAAAGTCCTGTGCAGTTTCAGATGAAATTGTCACCAGTATAGTTGGTGTGGGTTGGTTGAAGTGTATGTGAGTAATGTTCAGCCATAAGATTAGTGACGCCACCATTGTTTTTGGTCGTGCCATTAGGACCCAACAGTTGGGAAACTCCAGTTTTGGCTTGACGAAGAGAGGATGCATAATGGAATAAGCTTTTCGGATTGGAGACAAATTTACCCATAAACTTTATCTGGCACTGAAGCCTGTCTTCTCTTATAGCCTTTGTGCATATGTTCCTGATGTGTTTGTATAGCCTGTATGTGCCGTTGTTACCACTTCTTTTGTATTCTGCCCAACAGTGCTTTTGCGGCTTAGCAAATGAAGAGTGAGGTTCTTGATGACTGTAGGTTGCTTGTAGATTTTTGGGACCACCTGCTGAACAAACTGTTTTGTAGCATATAAGATGGTGTGCAGTAAGAAATCCCAATAGGCATCCACAAAAAGTTGAGGGTGATCTTCTCATTCCACCTGCTGTAGATTATCCTGTAGAGCTGACACATCCAACCGTTTGAAATTCCTGCCCCCGTTGTTGGTGGGATATCTTAGCTCAGTTTTGCTGATTAAACTAAAGGCTATGACGGTATGATCGCTCTTCCTCAAGGGAGCCAGAATTGATAGGTTGTCAATTAGGAATTCTTCATTTGTAAATACCCAGTCTAAGCTCGACGGCGTCTGACTGTTTAACCAACGAGTTGCCGACTTCACATTTTCGAATAATCCCAGATCCTCAATGAGGTTGAAGAACCTAGGTTTATTAGAGTTTTCACCCCTAATATACGTACGTTCCGCAAAACTGACTTTAGGAAGATTGAAGCCCCCTAGAATCAGGATATGAGTGAATCCAAGACGCGCAGAGCGGGATAGTCCTTCCAACATACGACTGTCACACTCGATGTCAGCAGTGGGCTCCCTATAGATGACCCCAACTAGGCACCTCGAGGTGGCCGACAATCTTGCTGAGCACCATACAGATTCATCAAGATTGTCAAACTCATGGTTGTGAACTTGATGTACCTTCAGGCAGAATCGTGTGCATACGGCTACTCCACCCGCAATTCCTGTTTTTCTGTCGTAGACTCTCAGCGTTCATGTATAAGCAGTTTATGCTTTGAATTAGAAACGCGTAAACCCTTCTGTCCTGTTTGTCTTCATGAGCCTTATATCAATGGGCAGGGAGCCTACCTACACAGGGTTTTCTGAGCTGTTAGCCCCTGTCCTTTCCATGTCTTTTATGGTCTAAGCACTCCACAAGTGGAATGGTTAGCTCCAACTTGCCTTTCTGCTTGATCCCGCCATCATATGGTCTACCAGGATGCATATGGATTCCAGTTGGCAACCGGCATCTATGGGCACGAAATGCTTCAGAGTTGCGGCCGCCATGTGGCAGGACAGGAAGGTTATCCTCATCAACCGGGGTCCGAAATTCTCGTCTTTCTTGTCTAGTTTCACCGCCTGTTGAGTCAGTTTGCCTTTGAGGTTCAAAAGCTGCTTGATGAGTTTTCACTTACGAATATCGGAGTTTGTGTGATCAGGGTCCGTGTTCTCTGGCACACCTTGCACAATGATATTTCTTCGACGGAAGGAATGCTTGAGAATTTTCTGAGGGGTGTTCCGGGTGAGATTGCGCCCAAGGTACGGTATATCGGGCAGTATTCTTACATTCCGATCTGAATTTAGTAAATTGCTGGATAGTAAGACACCCTCTACATCGTTAGGGTTGGCGAGCGTTATACGTAGTAGTCTTTGATGGCTTTGATGCTAGCAATTCTTTTCCAGAGTGAGACGTGCGACCGTCGAAGACTCTATTTTGGGAAGTTCAAGCTTCTTGTTTAATTGTCCCCTGAGCATCCTGTCGTTTTGTCCTACAGGCTGGGGGGGGGAAAGTCAGGACTGTCTTTCAGTTTCATGATTATGAGTGAATCCTCACGAAGAAGGATTATTTTCCCAGGTTTTCAGATACGCTCAGGTTGAGGACCTTGTTGTTTGGAGGTCGAAGCGAGTTTCATATTTCTATACTCTTTGCTGACCGGTTGAACACTCTTGCGGTTAAATTGTACGGCCAAATAAATAGTTGATCTCACTACAATACCTGGGATATTCAGCTTCTTAGACAGTGACACACGGTTCTTTTTGACTTTGTTAACGGGGTCCAATCGTGTACAGAATTTTTAGAAACCACCGTTGCATTCAAAATTCCTGTGCTTCGGGACCTAAGATTTTCGAGGGTGTTGTAACGCGTGCGTGTGGACTGCAGGGTTTGATAAGCAGCGTATTTATCGATCGGAGTACAGTGGACACGGAAAACACGTATGAACGACCTAGTGCCCTGATTGGTCCCGCTCCGCTGTCTGTCCCAGCCAGTTGAGTGAAGAACGCAAGTCACAGCCTCTGAGTTATGAATCATTGTATTTCAAACATACTCTATTTATATACCAAGCAAACAACCCACATCGTACCATAAAATAGGAAACAACATTTGTACAATATTTAAAGAGTGAAATAAACATCGACCAATAAGAAATGTACATTTAAGGTTCAAGGACACCATTGAACTTAACATGGTAATTATTGGTCTCTTTTTCCGACTATCCCAACACCTCCCCTTTTTCGAAAGATGCGGAGTTCATATCTGCGTTTTAAAATTTTCTGCGTCCGTCCTCCCCCGCGAAATAACGTTGGGTCCTCATATACCCAAGCAACAGTTAGTCTGACTCTATTTAAAGCATATTTCGCGCATTGAGTAGAGGGTTCACTAAAACTGACTAGATGATAAGGATTAGCGACACCAGACATGACGTCATTAAGGTTTGATTTTTGTGCAACATATCCTTCAGACCTCTTCAAAATGCGATCACTGGATAATAGGTCACTAAAACAAACAGCATCTTTGAAATTCATATCAGATTTCTGACCATCATTTGATGCA